ACCCCACCTGGATTATTCTGCCGTTGACATACCGATACAAAACATCATTCAATAAAACATCTGTTCCGAGCAGAATATAGAGAAATGTCAATAAGCCACAGAGCACTGCTTTGATGTGGAGAGGAATCACAATGCGTAATGACACAAAGATGATATAAATCACAAAGATCTGACATCTACATTGGAATCAGTGTTAAAGATGGATAAGCATTTGGTATAAAGATTGAAATATACAGGCGTATATGTACCTTGTCTGGCCGTCTCATCGTTAGGTGCTAAAATGTCTTTGTTTAAATTAACACTTACCTTGGGCCGTTTGTCCTCGGTAACTTGTGTTAGCAATCCCCGCCAATCATACATATTCATTCAAAACATCATTCCATAATCAATCCAACCATTCATCCTTCGAATGCACCCATCCCTCCCTCCCTCCATCCATCCATCATCCATCCATCCATCCATCCATCCAATCTTCCCTCGCTACCTCCCTCCATCCACTCATAATAATATATAAAATACTATCAAACATCTGTATTGTAATGATTAAAACATTATGAAAAACATTGTCACATTTTAATCAAGAAGTTACAGCATTTTCTCAACTATTTTATAGAAATTAAAACTTCAGGTCGCTGAACGTAATATGCTATTAATCATATTCATTACAAGAATATGATTTAAGTATTACAAGTGTGGTTTACCTTTTGTTATATCTTCTTTCTCATAGTGAATGAGAAAACTTGAGTTATATAAATAAAGGAATTTCATGGTGAAATCATTCTGTGAGAAATCTGAAAGAGGAAAGGAGTCGAAATGTCGCCGTCACGATCGATATCATGACAAGTTTTAAACTGCTACAAATATAATGTTGTGAATGCACAAAACGTAAATGAGAAAACAATTGGAATAAACCCATTCTGTCCTAGTCAGCTGTCATCCAAAGTCTATCTGCCCTTCTGAAAAGTTTGTTGTTCAAGGCCTCAGTACACATGTCAAGAGTTATATGGAAGATATGTTAAGAACATTTTTTTTCAGGTGGACGGTTGACTTGTCTATGCGTGTGTTTGTGGTGGATCCTACCGGTGGGACAGGACACGCCCACCTTTTTGCTAACACCTTGTATTATCACTATTTGAGAAAACGGGGGGCGGAGCAGATATGTTTTGCATTGAGACAAGATATTTTCAGCTGCAGCTGCATAGCTAGATAAAATAAAACTGAGCCTCAATATACTAAAACAAAAACGTCTTGCAACAATGGATGTTTAAAGGAAGGCAATTTCTTTGTTTTTCAACAAACTGAAGCATAAGCATTTTCTGGTATGATATTATTTTCCCCGTAAAAATCGCAGCCCCCGTTTCTTAACCATGTCAAGTGGTCGGTCTCTCACGATAAGCATGGGTCTTCATGGGGTACGGATGGAAGAGCGACACAATTCGAGACAAGACCTAACTTGTTTCTTACTTATTTGTAAAGTAAAGTTTAGATACCATTTTGGAAACCGATTTCCGGCCGGATAACACTAGCAGGGTACTACTTTGCCGACAAAATGAAACCTAGGTATGAAGCCGTTAACACCACAAGGTTGCGTACGATAACAATTACTATATGTCATTCTATAAGATCAGATAATGCAAGTTGGGCTTATTACCGGTACACAAACAACACGTGCACACACAGGCTCATGAGGTGGACTGATATTGTTGCCACTGCCGTGTATTTTTCATATCACAATACACAAACGACACGTGTATCACATGCACAAACACGGGCTGATAGAACTTACATGTCCTGCTGTATCGTCCAGCATCACACAGATACTCTGTGCCATTTAGGGTCAGTTTAGCAGTGTAACATCCACTAGAGTGAGGGCTGAGTGTGATGTCTAAGATGAGGCTCTGTTTGGGAACATGGCCAACGATGATATAGGTGGTGGTAACAAAACTGGATGAACCTGCTCCAGGAAATAATGGACCGACCAACTTGCCGCTATTTGTGGTGTAGGTTAGTAGATTGCTGTCCACATCTGAAACAACAGAGTAAATGCTAGATTAATGTACTTTACATGTTGATGGGGCATCTTGGACATTTTGAACAAGGTTTATTCATTATAGGAAATATTGCGTATAAAGGTAAAACTTACTTTGGTATTAAGTTCACGTCTATTGCCGCTTCAGTCCTAACATTATATCCCTCATCTATTCAATGGTCAGTTCTTTATCATTCAGATGGATTCCATATGCACAGACAAACATCACAAAGTTGTTCGTGGTTGAAGTTTTGTATCATCTAGTCTTTGTTCACTTCACTCCTAACCTTATCGTGTCCCTTAACTAAGCTTGATATTTAATGTTCAGTATGTATTTGAAACCATGTACACAAACTCTACCTTCAACTACGTAGTCGACAACAAAGCCACCACAATTGCCTACAAATCGACCTCCACCATGGGTCACAATATCTGCACTGCCAAAAAACGCATCTGAAACGAGACAAGTTTGGTTTTAGTCTTATTTGCACCTCAAATTTGATAACGTTCGGCACAAAAGTAATTAATTAAGTGGGATATGGGGTTGTTTTCTTTTAAAAAGAAGAAAAAATGTAGAAATATACGGCTATAAATCTAACTTGAAATTAGTGCTTGCAGAAATCCCACAAAACTGTGTTTGGACAATCTGATGAAACAGCTCCATCTGACATTACAGATGACCCAGAATAGTTAAGTATGTCTTTATATATAGAATTGATAATACTTTTCAAACTGGTCAAAAACTGGGAAACCGAATCTTTTTGCAAGAAAGAGAACAGTAACTTCAATGCCAGACATTTTTGTAATGATATCAGGATGTCCTTACAAAACATTAATTTACTTTGTAAAGTATTATAGCGGAAAATGCATGTCAATGGTATTATTACCAAAACGAGCCCTATGGTCAACTGTTTACGAACTTCGAAATATCGCCTACAGCAGAATAGCCTTCAAACAATCTTTGTCTTTTTCTAAAATAGAGTAATTATGATAAAAACGTAACCAGTAACCCGTGAACATAAGTTATTGACAACAAAATGGAACATGAATTTAAAAGCTTATTCGTTGTAAAATAAATTGCAGTGACTTCAATGGTCACACAGGATGAATGTTTCATTTAACTTCTAGTTGTGGCTTCATTATTGATTTCAGTTTTTAGTTACATAAATTCAACATGTTATTTCCACAAGGAGCGTTTTGATATCAGTACTGTATTATTCGGTACTTTGAATTGATCAGACACATTGACTTTGAGAATAATTGAGTCTGTTCATGATTAGTTTACATTTACAGAATATTTTAGCGTCAGAATATGCATATAAGAAAGTACTTATATGCGTAACTTCTTTGATAGGCATTTAGAAGTTGGAGTACTAAGTAAGGATATGAAATTTATGGATGAACAACTTCTTTATTACAATTAAGAGCGACGTTTCGGTGTAGATTCAATTGCTTGATAACGGTGTTAGAACCTACACCGAAACGTCGCTCTTAATTGTAATAAAGAAGTTGTCCATCCATAAATTTCTTATCCTTACTTACTTATATGCGTATTTGCGATCGTGCCACGTGGTGTGCTTTACTTTCAACTGTTCCACATAATAGAGACACCATCTGAAGAATAGTGATTGAAAGCCAACGAATAAATCTGATGTCTCAAATAGGTTGGGACCGCCTCCGTGATCTAGTGATAGAGCGTCCGCTCGGAGAGCGGAAGGTCCGGGGATCGATCCCCGGCCGCGTCATACCAAAATACGTTAAAAGAGGGTACTTGTTGTTACCCTGTATGACGCTTGGCATTAAGGGGCTAAAACAAGGACTGGTCGGCTCGGGAGTCAGTATACTGTGTCTGAGTGGGGTATTCATGTTAAAATGCGGCATGGTATCTCAGTGAACAAGCACAATAAATCGGCATCAGTAAAAGCAGCCACACAAACACATACACGTACATGCACGTCGCTATATAAGTGCAATAATCTTGGACGCGACGTTAAACCCAATTTTACCTCACCTCACCTCACCTCACCTCACCTCACCTCACCTCACCTCACAGGTTGGTCGAAACATTCGCTGAATATGCAGGTAGCTGAGGATATGTAAATCACGGTCTTCCCTTGTAAGGTGGCCTAGCTTTGGTTGCTGGTGCTTGTATTTTAAAAGCTCAAAATGTAATATTGATGTGTATGTTGATTAGAATATTTAAGTATTTGTAATGGTTCGTTCTTAGGTCCGAAATTTGTTAAATAAATGTTTTGCTGTCCTTTGTGGCATTTATCAACATAACTGTTCTTGTCACTAAAATGGCCAAGACACTGCGGATGTGGCGTTGCATTTTAACTCACGCACTCACTTGTCGAGAAAATTAGCCGAGGGTGTTTTTGTATCGTAAATTTGATAAATTAGGAATGCAAAGTTTATTCTTACATATGATATTTTTCGATACGGAAGCATGTCGCGGTAATGGTCTCTTTATGATATGATGTCACTCTAAAAATAATGGAAGTTCAAGACATATTGCTATTCATTAAAGTAACTGTTAAAAACGCGTGGGAATGTAAAGCCTGGGTGAACCGCCCAATGTATGATGTAGCACCAAATAACTTGCAGCCATGTTTGTTTTATTTGAGCACCCGTACATCGGGAAACTACTACCCCTTTGGGAACATAATGAAATGATTTGTCAGTAACAACACACCACAACAATAAACAGAGCTTACTAAACGTGTTCACCATTATTTGATAAATACTTGCATACGGGATTACTCACAATAGACCGTTTGCCTATTGAACAATTCACTTTCCGTTTTGAAAGTAAAATATTGTTTAAAACACTAGCATCTCAAAAAACAATTTATCACGCTTTCAGATATATTGATTTCTTTCAACCGTCATCCCTGAAGTTGTAGAAAGAAAGCAAAATAGATTAATTAGTCAAGAAAATCATACAAACAGCATCACTGTTTCTGCTTACAAGTTGTTTTGAAGGGGGTTGAAGTGCATAGTTTTGGTCCGCTATCAATGGTAAACCATCCGAGATCACAGTTAGTGCTGGTTGTGAAGATTAGAGAGACGAAGTCCAGGGTTAGTGTTTGCAACTTCCCGCTGCCTATGACGGTGTTGGTGCAGTTGTTGTAGGTGCAGTTGCAGGAGTAACATGGCGTCGATATCTGTCCCGATGTCGTTAAGTGGGTGGAAGTGCAGGTGTCTGCAACATGGGAGTTAAATGTATGCCAATCGTCTTTCATTTTCCATTTCAATAATCCCCCATCCCTAGAAGTCATCCGCTATATTGACGCCAAAGACGAATTCTCGATTACAATGGAGAAAATTACCACAGTTGAAGTGAGACTAATACATATGATTTTGTTTCATTTTCGTATGTTCTCAAAATCATCACACATGTTAGACAATCGTTAGATCCGAGTAGAATGATCACCATTCTCAAGTTTTTTCATAGCAGTCGTATTGACAACCTTTTAAATATGTGTCTCAAAAACTTAACTTTTATCACCTCCGACCGCTAGTTGGAATCAAGACCAGCAATACTGGTGCCAACAATGTTATAAAGTTCATGCACAGATATATCTGACATATATTCAAATATTTGTATAAACCTACGCGTACACTCACGAATTATCGAGAATGTATCAGTGAGTTTGTTGTTCTTTATCGGAAGCATTAAGTTCAATATCACTCTTTCAGATATACAAGTATTGACATAAGTGTTCAGGTTAGCACCTTTACAGCAAGCGGAGGAGTTTGCTTTCTTTGCATAATACCAAATTCAACAAACGGTAGAACAATCTTTTGGAGCAGACAAAACTTCTCTGATATTGTTTTGGCAATTAATATTTAATTGCATCTCTTGTTTGCTTCAGTAACCGTCCAACAGATTGACAACAATACATAGATTGTACATATACTCATATGACAGCTTGACGTAATCTAGTTACATATAAACTCCCAGTCATGATATATGGTTGAATATATCATACACATATGTAAATGAAATACTCATAATTGTTATGGAGAACAGAAGAGACGATACGTGATTATTACGAATCAATAATGCGTATTAAGGTAAAAAGATAGTGTACCGTGTGCGTCCACGCCAACAGAGTAATGCATTTTAAACCCATAAGTAGCGCTTCTGTAATCACTTCTAAACTTGATGATGAATTTATCCTGGAATGCATCTGAAATAAAAACGGTGCTACAATGATCGTTGCTGGAATTGAATAATCAACGCCATTGCTATCATACGTTAAATTGGTAATTATTTGAGGTTCTTATTCCAAGTTGGATAGACGGAAGCTTGAGGCAAAAAGAACAAGAGTGAAAGCTGTCCACCGTTTTTGTACTTCTTTTCACTCGTGTCATTCGAGGATAAAAAGTAATCATAGACGTAACTCACATACAGATAACAAAGACGTATCGCAAATACCTATAATATAACAGAGAAGAATCACACAGCCATATCGCACAGACGGACACAAAGCCGGATCACACAGGAATATCATACACATGTATCAGACAGACGGTTCACTTACAGGGATCATTCAGATATGTAATTAACACGGATCACAGAGACGTTTCACAGATGCATATCCAACAGATGTATCATACACATGGACGACGCTGACGTACCACACAGACGGATCACATAGCGATATCGCACTCACACAGGTCACACAAACGGATCATACAGTTTGGTCAACTAGATAGGTCACACAGGTGGATTACACATACATACCATAAAACGGATCAGACAAACGGATCATACACTTCTTTTATGCACTGTCTCTTTGTATGTCGTTTCAGATGGATTCAATGCTTACATGTCTTATGGAACGTTGTTTCGTAGCACAGATTAGGGCCATCGTCTATGATGAGCCAGTCGTAGGAACAGTCGGAAACAACTTGCAGGTCAAGCTGAAGCAGGTCTATGGTGATACTCTGGTTCTGCCCATCACCCACGACGACATACGTGCAGGTGAGGTAGTGGTAGGCGGTACCAGGGTAGCCAGGGCTGGTTATCTCCCCCTCACTGGCGGTCAACGTTGTCGAGCAGTTATCTGAGAATGAGAGAAACAGCACGATAACCACTTGTGGTCTTAGCATTTCATGAGGGTAATCACATTTCGAATGACCAAAATCATCAACTTACCTGGCAGCAAAACAATAGTTGTGCTAAATACGCAAGGATTGGTTGCGCTGGTTTATAAAACTTAAATACAAAACAAGGAGTATATGAAATTTGCATTCATTTCCTACGATATGATACCATTATATATATCTCTATCTGATAATATATTGAATCAAATGATTAGTAAGCACATGACTGAAGGGGATAAACGAAGCCATTTTGCAAAAAGAACTTATATATTGAAACCAGTGACATCATTGCAGGGCCGTCTCTCGTTTGATAGAATAATCATGCATATGATTCTACAAAAGAAAGAGAGCTGAGATTGTTTTACGTCAAATTTTCAATTGAACCTGTGGAAAGACTGTTAACATTTTCTCACTGTTCACTAAAACATAATAACTGTACAGATGTAGGTGATTTTGAAACACAACAATAGAAATAGCAGCAACGAAAACTATTTGTATATAAGAAAAGACCATTTGTTACAACACCACGTGAAGCAAAAGCCCAGTGTGCTGTTTTCTTCAAACTGTCAGAAAACTGGTCAACTTGACATGTTTGTACTCACAACTGCTTCAGGAATGCGCTATTTCATTACTAAGAATGTGGATGATTGACACAGCATAAGTGACGAACCATAGAAACGTTACAAAACTAAAATTTGGACAATCCGAATAGTGTTAAAAACAGTTGAGCATTAATCGCTCAATAAACCCCGAAACAACTGGCTGACCAATGCATTTGCTACAGTACCAAGATCTGGAGATTTTGGAAGGACACATCACGGGCCACTGACCAATCTCTCTACCCTGTTGTACTACCGTTTTTGCAAAAGAATCCCCAGGCCTTGTTTCAGCAAGATAACACAAGACCCCATACAAGGTCTAGGCCAGACTTATCATCTGTAGAGCACTTGTGGGGTCACAATAACCGTCAATTAATTCACGACCAGGACACTCTATACAAAGGATGAGTTGACACAACTAACGTCTAACATCTTCTAACATCTTCTGCCCATCGTCAAGTTGGGGCGTGCATTGATGCCCGTATCGGGTATACGCGATATTGACTGACAAGTGTGACATTCTGAAGAGTTAAAGGGAGTTTCATGTGCTGTTTTCAGTCATGACGTTAGTCAGTCAACCGTGCACACAATGCCTTCCTTTTCCCTCTCTTCCATGAGTAAAACTTGTAATGATTTTAACTTCTGTTCTATTTTTAGAAACAAACAAATGTTGATTGGTGTAGTTTCTTTTGTTGGTCAGTTTTCGCCATCACAATAAACTAATTTTATTTATGTATCTGTTTATGCTGTATGAAGTACGCTTAATGGGCATTTCACATCACACTAAATAACTGTTTCGTTCACATCACAGGACAAGCGGGGTCAATAACCTTGCCTAAGGCTACAAAACCGTGACTTGCATGATATGACCTCATTAAAAGTGAGATTTTAAATGATTATTAATAGAAAAGAGTTACAGGCATTCTTTCTCTCATGCACATATCTCTATGCCAAATAGTATGGCTTTGCTCACGAATTACTCTGTGTTGATGAAAATGGCCACACTGCGGTCGATAGTTTGTATTGAGGCTGAACATAGCATGATGGTGGGTGTGGTTATTATTTACATAAACTTTTGAGCTGTGTTGTCTTTTAAAGAAAACAGACTTCTAGTCTTATCTAGTCCCTTAGTTCTTACCAGAAGCATGTATTTCAAACCAAGTACACAAACTCTACCTTCAACAACGTAGTTAGCAACAAATCCAACAGAGTTGACAGATCGACCTCCACCTTTGGTCACTATATCTACACTGCCAAAAAATGCATCTGAAACAAGACAAGTTTTGGTTATTTTTCTTGAACATCAAATTTGATAGCGCTGGGCACAATAGTCTTAGGCAAAAATTACGTCTTAGTGGGATAGAAGATCTTGTTTTTATATGGTTTGAACGTTATTAAAAAAAATATACCAATGCACCGTAATAATATACTGCCACATATATAACATAAAATCTGTGCTCGCTCGCGGGACCGTATTTATGTTATGCACAGAAGATAGTTATCATATAATGGGTAAGTTTGATGACGAGGTAAAGTCAACTGATGAAAACAGTATCCTTTTGGTTGATATGACAATAAAGTTGCACATAAAAGGTGAGGAAGATACGACTTTCAGTTTTTCAAAACAAAATGATGCTGCCACTGTCTATCAGCGATCGAGTCAGAATTAACCATCGGGGATCTGGAAAAATTACTCGAATAACTGTTGTCATTATCAAATAATTGTCTATGATACTGACATTGAGTGTTTGATAGGGACGCAGCTGGGGCATTTTTACAAGTTTTTTACCTTTGAAGATCTAAATTTAAAGATATAAATCTAGCGCCGTAGCAGGATCAGTTTCCATATATATGCGTTTAGACCTCTGGTGATTGGGGTCATTCACCCACTTTAAAAAAGGCGGATTTGGCCGAAATCTGTCCTAAAAGTTAGTTTGTTTCATTTTAGCTGTTGGCGTCTTAATGGGTTCCATGGCATTACGACAGCCCAGACAAACATACTTGACGTCGCACAAACTACAGCAGCTTCCCTTTGGTAGAAGGCAATAACACAAGTGGGTGGAATGATGGATTGCCGCAAAAGAAAATAACACGTGTAGGCAATTGCCGCTTTGCATATATATATATAATTGTCAACACGTGTTATCATTATCCGAGGGTGTTGTAAATATTGTATTATTTTATTCCCAATATATTATATTTTCTAGATGAACAAAAAATCTCTCTATCGTATAATGTTATTCTGAGAATTAAACTTCAAGACATATTGCTTTTTATAATAGTAAGTTTAGGAGCCGCGAAGGAATGTAAAACCTGGGTAAACTGCTTCATGTATGACATACATCAAGTGCTAACTGATTTGCAGCCATGTCGGTTTTCATTAGTACTCACACAACGGGAAATCATCACTTTGGTAACATTGTAGAATAGTTTGTGAGCCACATTGCTGCACAGAGCTTACTAAGTGTTCACCATATTTGTTAAATACTTGTATTGGATATGTCTTAAAATAGGCAGTTTGCCTTTTGACCAATGCACTTTTCGTTTTTGAAAATATAATATTGTTTAAACCACTGTCATCTAAAAAACAATAAGTCACACTTTCAGATATATTGATTCCTTACAACAGTCACCTCTCAAGCTGAAGAAAGAAATATATGTATTTTTAAGAAAATCATACAGACGGCATCATTGTTTCCGCTTACATGTCCTTTTAAAGGGTGTTGAGGTGCATATTTTTGGTCCGCCATTAATGGTAAACCACCCGAGATCACAGTTTGCTCTGGTCGTGAAGTTGAGAGAGACGAAGTCCAGGGTCAGTATTTGCAACTTCCCGCTGCCTATGACGGTGTTGGTGAAAGCGTTGTTGGTGCAGTTGCAGGAGTAACATGGCGTCGATATCTGTCCAGATGTCGTAAAGTGGGTGGAAGTGCAGTTGTCTGCAACATGGGGTTTAAATGTATGCCAATCGTCTTTCATTCTCGGTCTCATCAATCCCCAATCCCACGAAATTGAATACAACGTTAGTTATTCGCACGACTGACGTCAAAGAAGAACGACTGATTACAATGAAGAAGGTGACCATAGTTCAAGTAATTAAGACACATGATATAGTTAAGCTTCCATAATGATTACATACATGATAGACAATCGTTAAGGTCGATGACAAATGTTTAGCATAATAAACCAATTTGAAAGCATTTTGACTACCTTTAAGATATTTGCATATGTTTGATTGCTCTTCATGTTCAAAAGAGGAAAGTATGACCTAAAATTCATATGCATATTTAGTAGGTTCTAGTTATATATGATATGACAGTTATCATTTATGGTTCAATGTATCATAAAAGTATTTTTGATGAAACACTTGTAATTGTTATGGAGAACAGGACACACGAATCAATAAATGCCTATTAACGTAATGACATTGTGTACCGTGTGCGTCCATGCCAATGGAGTAATGGATTTTAAACCCTCTACTAGTGCTTCTGTAATCAGTTCTAAACTTGATGATGAATCTATCCTGGAAGACATCTGAAACGAAAACGTTACTATAATGGTCGTGATGGAGATGGAGATATGATCAACATGTTAGCATAAAGTACAATGGTAAAGAGTCGAGTCTCCTACTTCAAGTTGTATAGACGTTTGCTTGAGGCAAAACGAACTAAAGGTGAAAGTTGTCCCTCGCTTTTGAACAATAAACACATCGCCTTCGATTTCTATTCACACGTGTCATTTGAGGACTAAACGTTATCACACAGACATATCGCAGTGACAGATCACACAGACGAATCTCATGGACGTACTACACAGACGGATCATATGCACGTATCACACTTACGATTCACACACACGGATCACCTAGCGATATCCCGATATCATATGGGTCTTGCAGTCGGTTCACACAGACGGATCACACAGACTGATCACACAGCCATGTCACAGTCACACGGGTCGCACACATGGATTTCATGTAGCTCTCACTTTGTATTTCGTTTCAGATGGAGTCAGTGCTTACATATCTTATGGAATGCTGCAGTTGAACATAGTCGTGGACCATCGTCTATAACAAGCCAGTCCAAGTTACAGTCGGAAGCAACTTCCAGGTCCAGCTGAACCAGATCAATGGTGATGTTCTGGTGCTGCCCATCGCCCCTGACGACATACGTGCAGTTGAGGTAACTGTAGGGGATGCCAGGGTAGCCAGGACTGGTTATCTCACCCTCACTGGCGGTCAAAGTCGTCGAGCAGGTATCTGACAATGCGAGAAAACAGCCAATAACCACGTGCGGTCAAAGCATTCCCTGATCATATAACGATCTACCAGAATGCATTATTATCTTAACCTCACAGTAACATATAAGTTATACTGAGACCACGATGATTGTTTGTGTTGATTTATAATTGTGACATGTATAACATGGACTATTCATATGTTTGTAAGATATTCATTCTCTACGATATGATACCATCATTCTCATTCTCACTCTGTTGAACACATAGACAACGAAAAGGGGAGTAGTCAGTACCAACTTGAAGGGGATTACCAGGGCCATTTAGCTCAAAACAATGACATCATTTCATGGTCCTCTCTCATTTGATAGAATACATATACATAAATAAGGACTAAAAGAAAAAATCCATGTCACAAACTTTCAGTCGACTTTTGGACTTTTAGCTTTACTTCATAACTGACAAATGGCCAGATTGAATTACTTTTATTTATGTTTGGCTTTCATTATGTTTTCTTAATCGTCATACACATAAAGCATATTTAGGGTCGTGCGGAATCGCTCATCATTATGAACCAATCCAATAGCGATCGTATTGCCAACCTTTAACAAATTTATACGTATTTGATTGTTCTTCCAGTTCAGAAGGGGAGCTTGTAAACTTTTTTTTTTTTTCACGAAACCACAAAGCTTGATTCTCATTTCAGGTTTCAACAACTTATCTGTTTTAATTTTACCGGTAGTTTGACTTATAATACTCCATACTGAACCCTGCAATGCTATAAGGATATTCATACTCAGATATATTTGTCACGAGTCTTTACCGGAAGTGATAAGGTCAACGTCACTCTTCGAGATATAGTTGAATCAACTTTGACTTTCTCTAATATTGTTCCAGTCATAATTGCACTCCGATTTTCTTCAATAACCTTTCCATTCTTATCCTACACTCAAGTTGAACAGAAATAGTAAAATAGAATAGGCAAACATCATGGACAGTAAATATAAACGTTTAGCTGGTTGACATAATCTAGGTACATGTACATATATAGTGTACATTGATTGAATGTATCATACAAATGTGGAACGAATTACTTGTACTTGTAATCCTTATTGAAAACATTATATGCTATGATAAATGATTAGGGATTTAGGGTTTGGGAGTGTCTATGTATGTGTGTGTGTGTTGAGGGGTGGCTTTTTTTAATGCGATGTTTTTTCTTCTTCACATAAAGACATCTGAGGTTGTTTACGTCACATTTCAAACTAAACCTGTGAAAAGACTGTTATAATTTTCTCACTGTTTACTAAAATATCATGTACAGATGTAGTGATTTTAAAACAGAACAATGAAAATAGCAGCAAAATATAACATTTATGATAATAACACAATATAAAAGACAATTTTAGCCTAGTGTGCAGTTTTCTTCCAATTCTCAGAAAACTGGTCAATGTGACATATTTGTACTCGCAATGCTGGAGTAATGCAATTTTCAATTACTAAAATTGTGGATGATGGACATGAAAAGCATAACTGACGAACAAAAAAACCCGTTACCAAACTGCAATGTGAACACACTCAGAATAGTGCCCAAACATTACCAGAGTATGCACGTGCAACAGTACCCAAGTTGCTGCACTTGCAGCATGCCAACCACCAAAGATATGGATATGTTAGGAACGATATAAATTTCCTTAACACCCACATGGTTGGACAGTAACAATAAACAGGCTATGATTAACACTACAGCAGAGAGAGCAAGCCGTTGGTACGATACAAGAAGGAGCAACGCATGACCAGGCTGCAAGGAGTTTTGGCTGTAGCTGAATGACAGTCACCAGGTGGACGGCCTGTGAGAGGCAGGAGTAGAGGTAGCGGACCTCCTGTCACCATCACCAAAGAAAACGTTACACACGTATCCTCAATATCAGGAATCGTATTATCGTCGTTTTATAAACAAACCAAAAAACGCCCCCTATACCCTAGAAATCAAATAGTGCACCCTTTATTACGTTTGCGTCCATGAGCCCTCTTCTAATGACGCTGTGATCAGTTTTAAAAATATTGTTCTATTCAACATGATGCTATTTTATCATTTAGGGGGAATCCATATGTACAAAGAGCATGAACAATACCTTAACTAAGCTTGATATTGTTGTTTAATGTTCCGTTCTTACCAAAAGTATGTATTCGAAAGCAAGTACACAAACTCTACCTTCAACAACGTAGTTGACAACAAATCCAGCACAAGAGTCTACGGATCGATTTCCACCACGAGTCACAATATCTACACTGCCAAAAAATGCATCTGAAACAAGACAAGTCTGGGTTAGTATAAATATCACCTCAACTTTGATAAAGTTGGGCATAAAGGCCTTACCTATGACTTCCGTCTTAGTGGGACAGGGGACTCTCTTTTTAAAAGGGCTTTAAAGCTATTTACAAATGTAAAACAATGTACTGTAATATACAGGTATACATCTTATAGAAAAAGCTGTGCTTCGTTTGTGTACCACAGATGGTAATTGTAGTATTCATAAATGATAGGTATCATATACTTGATGAGTTTCACAATGAGATAAAGACAATGGATAAAAAAGGTGTCCGTTTGGTTTTTATACCAATAACGATGAACATATAAAAGGTCAGGAAGGTAATACTTTCAGTGTTTGCCAAAAAACATTGGGCCGCCCTTGTTTATCAGCGATCGAGTTAGAATTAACCATCGAAGATCTGGATGGACAAATTACTCGAATGATTGTAATCATTATCAAACAATAGTCTGAGATACAAAAAATCAGAGTTTAATGGAGACGTAGCTGTAGTATTTTACACGTTTTGGCGACTTTAAAGATATAAAGTAAGCGAGGACACCAGCGCCGTAAAATGATCACTTCCCATAGTCCCAGTTCTTTTTCCCTACTTTAAAACAGTTGTATGTGGTCGAAATATGTCTGAAATGTTACTTTGTTTCATTTTGTCACTGTGTGGACATCTTACTGCATTTCGTAACGTTATGACAAGACCGACAAACAAACTTGCCAACTCACAGACTACAGTAGCTTCCCTTAATTTCGAAATATATAATTTTTAATGACACTGGCTACACATTTCTAACTGCACATAATCTTTGTCTTTTTAATACAATAATTACGATAAAAATGTAAGCAGTAACAATTGTAGAAACTTTTTTTAGAACATATGGAACACGATTTTACCAGATTATTCAGTGTATACTTTTACTAAATTGCATTAACCTGAATTGTCGTTTTAATCGTTTTTTTCGACTGATAGTTGTGGCTTTATTATTTATTCCAGTGTTCAACGTACATACGATCACATACGATTTCTACACTAAGGTATTATTCGATAGTTGCTATTTATCAGATACACTGAATTTGAGAATAAGTGAATTTTTACCATTACAATTTATATAACGTCAATGCCAGAGATTAACCAGTACTCGTCTCGATTGTCAGACACATTCTATTGAGTGTAAAAGGCAAAACAGCGTTGGAAATTATGTGAATGGATCACTGTCGATCAATGATCAATGATCAATGATCATTGCATGAGCAATTACACATCGGAAAACCACCACTAAGGTAATATTATACAATAGTTTATGAGCCAGTAAACGGCACATCAATGAACAGAGCTTTCTAAAAGCATTGATCATTATTTAATAAATATTTGTTTTGCAGACTTAACTATTGACGAATCCAGTTTTCGTTTTCGAAAATATACTATTGTTTAAACCAGTAGCATCTCAAATAACAATTAGTCACACTTTCAGAAGTATTGATTCGCTTCAGAAGTCACCTCTGAAGTTGTAGAAAGAAAGCAACGTAGAAAATCATACAGATTCTACTAACAGGATTTTGTGAAAGGGATTGAAGGGCATATCCTTGGCCCACCATCTATTGCTAACCATCCGAGATCGCAGTTAGCACTGGTCGTGAAGTTGAGAGAGACAAAGTCCAGGGTCAGTATTTGCAACTTTCCGTTGCCTATGATGGTGTTGGTGCAGTTGTTGTAGGTACAGTTGCAGGAGTAACATGGCGTCGATATCTGTCCAAATGTCTTTAAGTTGATGGAAGTGCAGTTGTCTGCAACATGGGGTTAAATGTATGTCAATCATCTCTTACGACGTAAATCGTTATAACGCAGTAAATTGTAATAAACTGTGGTAAAATATAACACTGCGGTAAATTGTAATAAACACTGTGGCAAATTGTAATAAACGTTGCGGTAAATTGTAATGAAATATTATTCATTTGCAAATATACAAAGAAACATCATGGTACATGAAGTTTAAAAATAAAAACACGATTTTGTTTCAATTTTTGTCTTTCCTGTTGAGAGGCATGAGCGGCAAATTGTAACAAACTGCGGCAAATTGTAATACAAAGTGCGGTAAATTGTTATAACATATCTTAATCCTTCCGATTTTAAACAGAATTCGAGTTACAGTGTTTGTTCGACCTCAACATAATCGATTCCAACCCCCAGCATGTTTCAGGAAATAAAAAAAGGATTCAACAACTTTACTGTTTTCAATTCCGACTAAACAGTATATCAAAACTGAACTCAACAACGCTTTAAGACTGTTCATACTCAGATATATCTGATGCATGAGTTGAGTCGAATTTAGTTTTTACAACCCACACTCACGAATCATCAAGAATGTACTAGTGAGTTTGTTCTTCGTTACTGGAAGCGTTAAGTTCAGTGCCACTCTTTCAGTTATAGTAGACTCAAATTGAACTTTAGTCTTTAGATAAGTACCTACAAAGCAAGCCGATTTGTTTTCTTCGCACAAATTTTACAATTTGTAGACCCGTCATCGGGAACAGAAAAAACGCCTCAAATACCAGGGCATGGGTTTGGCCAATATATTTTCAATGAAACTTCAGTAACCCTTTAAGTCAAACAGGTTTAGTAAAAAATACAATAGGCAAACATTATAGATGGTAAATACACACATTTGACTGATTGTGATAGATAACAGGAAAGACGATA